CCTCCCTCCCTGCCTCTCTCTCTATCTCTCTCTCTCCCCCTCTCTCTCCCTCGAGCTCCCGGCTGGCCGCGGCTCCCTCACGCTCTCCCTTCTCCCTCACTCTCCCTCTCTCTCTCTCTCTCTGGTAGGCTCTACCGAGCGATGCGAGCTCTGAGAGACAGCGACGCCGCCTCCCGCTAGAGACCTGCCCCCCGGCCCGGCCCCCTGCCCAGCCCTGCCCAACGCGCGGGGGTCGGCGAAGGCGCCGCGGACGCACCGACGGCTGAGGACCGGCGATGCACATGCACTAGCGGCACCCCCTAACTCACTCCCTCCACACCCCGCGCCGCCGCCACCGCCGCCTCCACCGCCTCCTCCTCCGCCGCCGCCTCCTCCTCCTCCGGCAGCCGCGGCAGAAGGACCCACCCTGCCCCCCACCCTACCCTCCGCCGGCTCCGGCTGCGGCTCCAGCCTTGACTATTATTTTATTTATTTTGGGTCGTGCACCAGCCTCAGTGTCTGCAGCCCGCGCCTCCTCGGCCCGCGGGCGCCTCCTCCCTCGGCTCCGGAGCCCCAGGCCCAGACCACCCTTTCTCGACACCCCCATACTCCTGCCAGCTGCCGCGAGTCTCCGCTGCTGGAATCTTGTTAGCGGCAGCCCTTTGGGGGGGCTCTGGTTTCTCGACATTTTTGTTTCTAGCCAAGGAGAAGATATCGTGATTTCCCCCCCTTTAAGCCCAGGCTCTGCTCTCTGGGGGGGTGGGGGGCGCGCCGAGCCGGGGAGCCGTGCCAGCCGAGTCGCGCGGGCTGTGGCAAGGAAGGGGCCACCATGGGATGTACTCTGAGCGCAGAGGAGAGAGCCGCCCTCGAGCGGAGCAAGGCGATTGAGAAAAACCTCAAAGAGGATGGCATCAGCGCTGCCAAAGACGTGAAATTACTCCTGCTGGGTAAGGATCGCGGCTACCACCCCCATACCCCGACCCCGGCCACTCTGCATCCCCAGTCTCCAGCTCCCCCACCCCACCTGCGCCTGGGGAGAGACCTGGTCCCCGAGTTGGCACCACCATGTGCCCAGGATCGCCCACCCCCTTGCATGCCTTAACCGCCCTCCCCCTCCGCCCCGCTCCCCCTGTTCCCCTAACCTGACACTCACCAGTTTTTCTCCCATATCTGTGTCCCAACAGGGGCTGGAGAATCAGGAAAAAGCACCATTGTGAAGCAGATGAAGTAAGTCCCTGCGGCATTGAGATTTGTACTTTTATTAAGAATTAATTTTTTAAATCATTTTCATTACCTAGCTCACTACACATTGCTATCCAGGCCTGGTTTTTAATTCATGCATACACACACTCTCTCACACACACAGACCTGGATTTGACTCCCATCCCCCTCTCCCTACGTTGGTTCTGGGTCCTCCACCCTAACTCCCTGGCTGGGTGTTTTGGGGGGTTGGGGGGGAAGGGGAGTGCCTGTAGTTGTATGAATGACAGTGTCCGCCATATTGATCAGAACATCACACATTATTGGCATGGTTATGATCATTACTCTTTGCTCGTGGAGTACTTTGTATGTTTTACTGCCTCCATCTCTGTCTCTCTGTGTGTCTGTTTCGTTCTGTCTCTATTTCTCTCTCCTCCTCCCTCCATGCCCCCCCCAAATCTATAACCCCACTTCCCCCTGCTCTTCTCCTGGGGCAGTGATTTTGAACTTGGCTAAAACATGGAGGGGACCCAGCCCTAGACTGGGGTGGTGGAGGATCAGGTGTCTGCTGTTCATAGATTTGGTGCTGAACTGGAGGCTGTGGTTTCTATCCCCCTCTTCTTCCCCACCCCACCCCCCAAAAAGAGGGCGAGGGTTAGGGGAGGGGGCATTGATAGGGGAAGGGGTGCGTTTCCAAGCGGATGTGACTGGCATAGCTGTATCCAAGGCAGAAGTGGAAGGGGGACGCTGGTTGTGAGGACGAATGCCCCTGCCCATTGCTGCCCCCCAGACCCTCTTTTCCCCTGCCCTCCCAGCGTTTGCTCTCCTGACACCGGCAGTTCTCGTTCACTCTGTGGTCTTTATCAATGTATTTATTTACACTCTGCATAGGCCGTGTTCCATGTTATGTACCCACAATGCAGATTTCAGGCCCCACTTGCCACCGCCCCCTTCTGCCTTAGATATCAGTTTCCCCTCCTAATTAACTGGAGGTGGATTTGAATGATGGTTGAAAATTCCCTTCCACACTTTCTCAGTAAGGAGCCTCGCCCTTCCTTCCCACTCTCAGGCTCGCTTCTTGCCCCATCCACTTGGCAGTTCCTGGTGAGCCCACAGGCAGCTTTGCTAGGGGTGGGGGTGGGAGGCCCTCGGAGCCTCCTGGCCCTGCTGGTCCTGCCGCTTCCGTTGGCCTGTCAGTTCGGGACGGAGGAGTTCGTTAAGACCGTTTAGCCAGGATTCCACGTCACTTTGCTGTGACACCTTCGTGCACACACAGCTTCTAATTAGGGGTTGCCGTGCAGTAAACAAAAATGATTATTTTTCAACTTGACAGAATAGCCGAAGTAATTGCATCCCGTAGGAAAACAATGGAAAATAAAAACCTCTTCCGTGGGAACGTGGGTGGGAGACGAAGCATGCTTGCCGTTTCTGAACCAAGATGCAAAAAATCTTGCATGTGTAACAGGCATGACAAGCGGGTTCTAGGCGGCGCCATGATGGTAGGGAGTAGTGACTTGGAGACAATTTCCCCATCTGCTTGACATGTTCTTATTTTTGTTCGAGAGCTCCCTGGGGCTTTCTTCGCAGAGGCCCCCTTGGCTCGCCTCACCCTTCTGAGCCACGGGTAATTTGGCCTGGGACTTCTCTAGAGCTTGCGCAATCCAAATGGATGGGGAGGGGGGCGCTGGGGAATTGCTCTTTGCAACCAGGTGCATGTTGCATCTGCCTAGAGCCCTTGTAGGTCGGTAAATGCGAGTCGCGCCACTCCTTTCTCCCGGTGGGGGGGGGGGCGTTTCAAAACTTCAGAAGTCTGTAGTCTGCAGCGGCGGGCTCCGAGCCCCGTAGAAGCCCCAGCCACGGGAGCTGGGTGAGGTTTCAGGCGTTGCGAGTGGTGGACAGCGCCTAGCCGAGGCCGGAAAAGTCGATGGGGCTCAGTTCGGAGGCTCTCGGCTCCGCTCGGCGCGGCCTGGGAGTGGGGTTCGGCAGTGTTCGGAGCTGAGTCGGGGCCCAGACGGAGAGAGCCGAGCTATTTCGGAGGGAGCCGAAGGCATTCGGAAACGCTCGGGGTGGGGAGGACACAGGAGGGGAAGGGAGGAGGGGGACAGGGTAGAGTCTGCAAATTAATTTTGCAGACGCCAAAGCAACTCGTTACCTGCTTTTCCTGAACACTCCCTAAAAATTAGGTTAATTTAATAAGAAGTTTAAAAATATATGTTGAGTCTCCCAAAGGGAACCTCTCCTTTTTTATTCAAAGAGAGCTGAGCTCTCCGAGGAGATAAGTGTGCCACTTTAGGATGAAAATTCCTGATTATGTACTGGGGTAGGAAATCTTAAATGAAGGCTATATGAATACTTCCCTGAGAAAGTCCTATGTGTCTTTTATTTGGTTACACTGAGGGGAGGGGGAAAATGAAATGTTTAATGTTTGAGATGGTTAAATTAGAAATCAGAGGATTTCTTCTCTTTTCCCTGCAATTCCCCCTTTTCTCACCCCAGGACATCTTTTTGGAGAAAAAATGTTAGGCAAAACTGAAATATTGTAGGTAAAACAATTAGTATATCTTTTAAAAAGGCCAATACACCAAGCTTCTTTAGGAAATAGGCTAGGTTTGCACAAAAGGTTGGCATTTTATTTTATTTTTTATTTTTTTGTCTTTTTCCGTGTCCGGCAACGGATCGCAACCCTCAGTGTTGCCCCCGTACCGGACCGGGGACCGGCAACGGGATTGCAACCCTCGGTGTTGCTCCTGCGCCTCGCTCAGCCAGTGAGCGGGAACCGGTCTGTATGTGGGATCCGAACCCTCGGGCGGGAGCGCCGCCGCGCTTCCCAAGCGGCGCACTTATCCAGTGCGCCACCGGGCCGGCCCCTTGCTGGCATTTTAAATAATTTTGCTTGTTAGGTGGTCGTGACCTCACCTGTGGCACAGCCTTACCGTTTTGCAATCAGTGGTACTCTCAGTTAAATCAAAAATTTTAAAGGAAGAATTTAAAGGAAGTGTCAATTTTATTTAACTACCAAACTCTTACAAAGAGATCTCTTAAAGAATTTATGAGATATAGAATCAACAGAATATCATTTTAAGTGACTTCCAAGTTCTGAACAAATAGTGAGGACTGCTTGGACCATGAACCCGATGAAAATATAAAATGAACTGTGGAGTTGCTCTGGATACTGCAGTTTGCCCTCATTTGAGGTGCCAAGTTTTCTGTGATGTCGAGTTCAAGCTACTTGTCTCTGGAGCATTAAGCAGATTTTTTAGGAAGATAGCAAGTCAGAAGATGGCAATGAGGCATGGCTTGCTGGCTGGTAGGCTTTACCTAAATGGACAGAGTTAACTGGAGCACTCTAGATGTGCATTCATTCCCAAGATATCTGCTCAGTGCTGTTATAAAACAAATTTAAACATTTGACTGATGAAGACATCATTGCTCATACAGTCTAGTTCTTATAAGTGGGATGTGGTTTAGAGGGCAGACCCTACACTGTCAGGGAAGGCAATCTTAAAAGGTTAACTGCTGCAAAATACTGGTGGTTTCCTTCTCCTAACTGACCCGTAATTTGTAACTAGGGTGTCTACTCTTTGGTTTGGGTGCAGGGCAAGCCTGCATTCTTTCAGCACACCACTGTTGGGCACCTACCAAGTGGCAGATATTAGTGGAGGTGAATGGCAACTTGCAGCCATTACTCCATGAAAGTGCAGCCGTCTAAAAGGGCATTTCCCACATGTGCCCAAAGGGTCCCATATTGAGGTAGCATTCCACTGAGAGCCTCTCTTTTAGATTTGTGGATTTGTTATTTCAGCAATCATCTTGTTAGCTGCTTTGCCTCTCTTCCTCCTGTCTCCGTGTTTATTCATATGGATGCACCTTGCTCTCTGGAGACAGCATGAGTGTGAACAGAATGTCAGATCAAATAGCAGATGAGTTCTCCTTTGCTGATGGATGGTGCGCTCTCCTTCCTTACTGTTCACTGAGCTGTAAATACCAGCAGACCTTCCTGCTGGAGGAGTTGTAAACAGTCCACCTGATCTTCTCAGGAATCTGCTGTGGAATTCTTGAACCTCAGTTACCCACTGGATTCTGAAATGGAACCTGGATACTTGTTGAAAGTTTGTTGCCCATTAGATTAAATGGATGAAGCTTCATGTGGATTGATGTGGCTGGAAAGGACTGCAGAATTTCTATGCTGTATGTATGGGACTGTATTAGATTTACAACGTCCAGAGCTGGAGCACTGTCTTGTTTCTTTTAGCACAGGAATTCCCAGGTTAAATCGTGCTTCTTAGTAATGCCACATCTGCTAAAGATAGGACAAGATCGCTCATGTTTTTCAGCTGTTCAAAGTACCCTATCTCTGTTCACACTAGAGATTTAATATGAGTAGAATAAGGTCCTATTTTCCTAACATGTGCTCAACCCATCTGGATGCAGAAACTTGATTCCTTGTCTCCCAGGGTGTTTTTATTCTCATTTCTTATGAAGCCATATAGACTGTTATCATAAGAACACATCATGATCTGAAAGACAACAGACAAGCTGGTGAAAGGGATGATTTCAAACTGGAAAAACATTTTGGAAAGGGCTACCCCCAAAACTGACACTAGCAAAGACCAATTTTTAATTTTGAAAAAAGAAAAAAAAAGTGTGTGTATGTATGCATGTACCTCATGGCCTTACAAACAGCAGATGCTATGAGAAGGGCACTTCACCTCACTTTCTTATTGATCGTATAATCATAAGAAGCTTAAAGGTGCTCAAATGAACTCCATTCTAAGAATTTGTTCAAATTTGTATCGTATAATCATAAGAAGCTTAAAGGTGCTCAAATGAACTCCATTCTAAGAATTTGTTCAAATTTGTATCACATTCTTATTTTATTCCACCCCTCTCATTCACATATAGTTCCAGTAGAAAGGAAACCTCCAACAAATCAGTGATTAACATGGGAAGGAGAGAAAAGAGCAGTGGACCACATTCTTATTTTATTCCACCCCTCTCATTCACATATAGTTCCGGTAGAAAGGAAA